ACGGGACTATCTGCCAAATGGAGAAAACAAAGAAGCTTCAAAAGAAACAAGCAATGTGACACTGGCCATATTCAGAGACTTTCTCTGAATTCCTCTTCCTCCCCCCCCCCCCCCCCGCCCCACTTACTGCTGGAAACTGCTCACTGAGGCCTGGAGAGCTCTGGCCCCTGCCCGTCACTGATATCCCTGTGTCCTTTATTTTCCTTCTCCTCTGACCTCCCTCTGGTGCATTATGTATTCTATCTTATGTGTGTGTTTCCTTCATCCCTCTGCTAGATAAGCTCCATGAAGGCAGGGCTTTTGTGTTCTTCACTCGTGCACCCTGAGCCCCTGCCACAGTGCCTGACACATAGCAGGTCCTCAACAAATAACTGGTTGGATGAACCTGGGAGAAAGACCTCCCTCTCTTCAGCTCAAGGGGGACGACTGCGCTGTCCGGCATGCCCCCTGTGGTCGTGCTTTGGTAACTGCAGCCCCTCCCTTCTCCCCAAAGCACGTTCTCATTCAGCCACAGGGGGGCATCATCCCAAAGGGCACCTGTTGCTTCCAGCAAAGGCACTAAGAAGGTGGAGCTAAAAAACGGGTGTATTAGGGAGGGGGAGCAGGGTGTGAAGGGAATGCCCCCTCGCCCTTTCCCTGCCCTGCCTGAGCTGGACTAGGACGTATTAAGGGCCAATTCCCCTTTATATTGAGCACCTGAGACCTTCGATGTCAAGACCAGGTCTTTAGCTATGACTGATGATAATAGCCGCATCCAATACTTCGTGCCAGGCCCTGCAGGTACCTGACCTCACGTAGTCTGACAGCAACCAGAGGCACTATGGTTAGCTCATTTAATGCAGAAAGACCCTGAGTCTTAGCATGGTAAAGGGACCAACCTGAAGTCCCACCCTGAGAAAGAGGCAGAACCAACGTTTGAATCCCAACCGCCTGCCCAGAGCCACAGTCCTTGACCACCAAACAATTGCTGTGAAAAAGGCAAGGCCCGAGGACAGAGGCAGCGGAGATGACTGGGGTAGGGGGAGCTCAGGGAGGGCTTCTCAGAAGAGGGCACCCTTGAGCTGGACTATGAAGGATGATCAAGGGTTGGTTCTTTGACAAAGAGGCAAAACGATTTCCCTTCCTTCAGAGACCAACCAAAAGGATGTGTGAAGGTGTAGGGCAGGCGGCTCTGGCTGAACTTTGGGCTCTGAGAGGGGGCCAGTGCCAGGGACAGCATCTGGTCCGCCACTTACTTACAAGAATAAGTCCCCCATCAGGCTTGTGAGATGAGAGCAAACTGATGAAACCCAGATGGACCCCAGAAGCTGGGGCCCAAGCCCTTCCTCCTCAACTCCCCTCTCTCTGCTCTGTAGTTTTCCCATTTTTAAAGTGGTTCGTCTGCAGAATTAAAGGAATCAGCACACCTAATGCTCTTAGCCCAGTGACCCGAGCTGTCAGTAACACTGTTTCCCAAACCTCTGAGTTCCCATGTCCCCAGATCAGCCAGTACTGTCGACTTGGAAACCCACGCTCCGGCAGATTTGGGACAACTAACTCCCCACGGGTGATAGGGCTTATCAGAAGATTTCAGACTGATAAGGTGGCTGGTCAGCTTGAGTGACCCTTGCACCGTCCCTCCCTGGGTCCAGGGTCTGTCCTTTCTGGCTTGGTTTTTCAGCCAAGAACCTGAAAGTCAAGGTCCCAATCAGCTGAGACGCAGGAGGCTCTAAACGGGTGGCTTATCAGTGATCCTCGATCCCGAGAAATTAGACAGTTTCCCCTCCAGGCAGACCAGACAGGTGCCCAAATCCCTGGTGGTGGCCAGATTTCGAGAGAGACTTTGAACCCTGAACACTCTCAACTCTCCAGCCAGATGACAGAGATCTATAGTGGGGGCGGGGCGGGGGGGGAGTTCCTGGGGCTAAGAGTTGTCACGAAGGCCTGACAATTATCTAGACTAAGTCCTTGAAGCCCCAAGGGCTCAGGGGGAAGTAACCAAGAGGCAATTTTCCCAGGGCCCTGAGCTGGACCTGGATTTGAATTTCACCCCACCCCTTAAATGGCTGTGTGTCCTTGGACCAGCCGCTCCCTTCTCTGAGCCTTAATGCCCTCATTTCTAAAGGAAGACATGATTGTAACTTCCTCAGATGGTTACTGTGAGAATTAAGTGAAATAACCCATAGAGGCTCACCCTTGAGCATCCAGTGTTACTTGGCCAGGGCAAGAGGTAGACCAGTGAGCTTGTTAAGAGCCCTCTGTTTTCACAGGGGCAGCTGAGATCTTGAGCACAAGAAAATGCACTTTCTAAAATCCAGGTCTCTCGAAGAGTTAAATATTAAAACAAGCAAGAGGGGGGCGCCTGGTTGGCTCAGTCGGTTAAGCACCTGCCTCCAGCTCTGTCCCCGTGATCTCTGGGTCCTGGGATCGAGCCCCGCGCTGGGCCCCCTGCTTGGCTTCTCCCTCTCTTTCTGCTTGCTGCTCCCCCTGCTTGTACTCTCTCTGTCTCTGTCAAATAAAGAGATAAAATCTTTTTAAAAAATTAAAATTTAAAAAAAATTAAAACAAGTGAG